ATTCACTTCTGAAGTTAGTATTGTTAAATTATGTTTTATATCCACTTTTTAGCAAATGGATTTTTTGGATAAGTTAATCTTTATTCATTCATTTAATTGAAGTTATTTGATTTAAAGTTAATCTTTTACCATCAAGCTACCATGGCCACCAACCACCCCACTGCTACTGCCACTAACACCACCGCTACCATGACACCACCATGACCCCCAATTACTAATATAAATTAAGAAAATATAGTATAACCTTCGTGCTATACCACTCGTTTCCTACCCAATTATCCCAATTATATGGTAGGACCAAAGGATATTTCACTTACTCAACTATACTACCCAGATACCAAAGCCAAAAACTATTAATCTTCTCTCATTATATTAGGTGCCTAGCAACTGTGTGATTTTGGTTTATGCAAGTAATTGCAGATTGAATTTTCTCTTTTATTTTCTTTAATTTTTCTAGCTTTCTAAACCTTATTCTGCTTTGCTATGTCAACTAGAAAATTGGAAAAGAAAAAGGTAGGCTATGCAAATACTTCAATACTCATTCAAATGGGTTCAAAATCAAAACTGTGACATTTAATTACCAAAAACAACAGTATTTCATTGCTACATTTGCATGTCCGTCTCATCTAATCCCAAAGTACAGAACTAACTATCTGAACCATTCAACATCTATAACCACGAACCAAGATATTCGAATGACTGCGAAATCTTTTATAATGTAAGACTTTCAGTCAACTATTTACTCTGTTCAAGTGTTATAATTACCAATACCTATTCATGCAATTATCAATGACAAAGTTATCTTTGATTCAAACCGAACACACAGATAGCAAAAGAACCAGGCACTTTCTCCCTTTAAACTCTGTCAAGCGCTACAAAATTCAATTAATTAAGAAAGTCTGAAATTCAATTAAATGAAGAAATTAGGAACAAGGCGCTATCTCCCTTTAAACTCTGTCAAGCGCTACAAATTCAATAAACTAAAAAAGCCTGAAATTCAATTAAATGATGAAATTAAGAAAATCTACTCACATCAGGGACAACAATCTGATCAAGAGCCGAGTTCTCAATCAAAGGCGCATTTGAGAAACTCCGGTTACCAGTGCTAGCAATGAACTGTGGTTGCCCTGAACTTCCCATAGTTCCCTTCCTTCTCTAAGAACAGCTATGAAAGAGAAGAGGACATTAAACGAAAAGGCCTAAATCAGTGAAGTGAACTGGTATAGTAAAAAGAAAGTCTAAAACATGTAAATACGATAAACACAAATAAAATATAATTCTCCAGTTGAACTCGAAATGAAACAACTAATGGAAATGACAACAGCAATAACAATCAAACATAGTGACAGAAGATTGAATCCTGAAATTTTCTTAAGGTTTCCAGACATTTTCTCGGAAAACAAACACACAACAACAGAGGGAAAAAAAACAATAATGACAATAAAAGATACAACTATGCACAAACCTCAGTCTCCAAACAGTGACGCAAAGGAGAAAGGGCATCACATGAAGTAAAGATGATAGAAAAATTTAAGAAAATTTATATGTAAAACAGATTTTCCCTTATCCTGGATTGTAGCTTACCTACTCTCTGCTCTCTACTCACGGTTCTCCCACGTCACAAACGGTGCTCAGTTTCTTCTCCCTCGTTTATAAACATTAAAAAAAACAGAGAACTCGGACGCGTATCCCAACGACTACTTGTAAGATACACCCAGAGTGCCATGTCAGCATGCTGACATGGCTCACACACCCACTCATATCACGCCATATGTCAACTTGTTCCCACAATATGAAAATATTTATAAAAAAAAAAAAAGAAAGAAAAACGAAATACCTGAAACAGAGTTTAAAATTAGCTGTTCATTGACTATTGATTTTAAACTTTATTTAAAGGAAACCAGAAAATCGCAATTGAAAAATCCAGTTCGAAGCCAAAATGCTGTACAGAAATCTCCATTGACAATCAACAAGAAGAATCATTTAAAGAAAAAAGGAAAATGATATGAAAGGAAGAAACAAGAGAAGAGCAATGGAGTTGTCTGTTTTCAAGAAGATTATTCCAGAGAAAAAAAAAACAAGGAGAGAAGAAGATAGAGAAGGAGGACATAGTGCAATGAGCGAAGAAGGAACGCACCAGTAGGCTGGAGAAGACAGCTGTACGTACTGAAAAACGTTTCTGCAACTTCGAGAGGAATTGGAAGGAGGCTTGAGATTGAGAGAGGTTTCAGAAACGTTTCAGAGAAGAATCAAACTGCAGAGAAACAGAAAGCTCTTATAGCAGAGAGAGCGGCAAGGTAACGATACAGAGGCGATTCATTATGGAAATCACAGTTTTCATAACCTGCCACCCTCAACTATATATATAGTACTTGCTTTATACACTGAATAAAATTTTTAATTTATTTAAAAATTAAGTGAATAGAAGAAAGTAATTTCTTAAATGATAAGGAATGAAAGTGACGGAAATGATTTTTTTATTTATTTTATTTTTATCATGTTTGGATAGAAACGGATTGGGGAAAAGACAAAGGACCTGAAATTTTCCTTTTACAGAATAGGAAACAAATTTTTTATATTTGAAAAAAAAAAAAAGAACGAGTTGTGATTTTTTATTATGTTAGTTGCTTATTAGAAATTGAAATTTCACCTATAATAAAGTGGTATTTATATTATATTATTAATAAAATACAATAAAAAGATTAATATATATCTATAATACGAGATAAAAATATAAGAAAAATATAAAGTTTTCAAAATAAGTAATTAAAAAAATATTTCTTTTTTAATTGAAAGAAGCACTAGATTATTGTTTAAATAATAATAATAATAATAAAATCAATTTTAATTATGTATAAAATGCTAATGACCACTACATAATTTATACTTAACTTTATAATTATTTGAAGGAAGGGTGTGGTAACTTTTGTGGGATGTATTTTTTTTATTATCCGAACACATAATCCTCTAGTTAGGAGAGCTTAAAAGGTGAATATGACCATCTACAATTATATAATTTATGAGAAAGCTTATCCACCAAAAAGTTATCATGAGGAATAGTTATACAATAATATAGTAGTGTTGAATGGAGAAATGTTAGAGTGTATCATAATAACACTAGAAAAGAAATTCTACATGTATGTGTGTGTGTGTATATATATATCTGTGTGTCATATTGAAATAGGCATATTTATTCTCATATTTATCTATTAGTAAAAACATAAACTCATATATGTCTTATACTTTAAAGGTGATCTATAATTCATTTTCTATCACCCAATTCGCAAGTAAAAATTTTGATGCTTTATGATTAAGTCTTTTTGTGAAGAAATAAATCTCTTTTTTCTTATTTTTAAAACTTCAAATTATTTTTAAAATTTTTAAATATTAATTAAGTTTTTTCAAAAGGTTTTTTAGGCAATAAATAAATCATCAGAAATTGAGACGAAAGTTATTAAAATAAAGATATAAATTCTGTAACAATTCGGAACTTAAAAGAAAATAAATTATGAACTAAATGCAGAAGCGAAACAATAAATTAGGATTTACATTCCTTACACAATAATTAGATATACTCAATAGGGTTACGAGAATGATCATTCTAAAAGAACAACTAATAATCAAAGAAAAAAATGAAAAGTAAACAAACTGAACGCTCTACTCGCAACATTCTTGTGAATCAGACTTTAGATCTTTGTTCTCTTGATCTGAAATGGTTAATGAAAGAGTGAGTTACACTAGCCCAGTAAGAATATCACGCTACTCACCGACACAGAAATGAAGGTTGGTAGAAATCATAAAAATAACTAATAGAGCTCTTAATTTAAGTAAAATTCATTTATTATAAATAAAATCATTTACCGCATGCTTACCGTAACAAGATTCCCAAAACTGACTTATAGAGTCAATAACATAAACAGTATCATAATTTCATATTTAATCAGTCGGAACAACTTTCTCATTTATCAATCTACCGGTATCTATGGAAGTTCATAGGGATGTCCTCACTACGCGTGAATCTTTTTTCAACATTTTCAACTAACTGACCGTCCCCATACCTCGTCTGGTATCATGGTGAAATGAGTTGTCCTCATACCTCGTCCGGTATGAACGCCAATTATCAATTCTCAATACCCTGTCCAGTATGAGACAACGTTCATAGTAGGATTTTTCTATGTACCCGGTCCCTACACCATCTCCCAGAAAATCTAGTAAGGCTACCATTCAACCTTTTACCAAATCAAACAATTCCTCGTTTACCTTTAATTTTCAGTTTCTCAATTTTAACTGTAAATCACGTAAGACAAGTAATACATGCATCAAGAAAACACAATTGAGTTATCATACCAATTCCAGTGTATTATCATGCATTCAAACTGTAAAATCAATCAATCAGGTAAACATGACAACAGCAATAAATAACTGATTTTGGCTCCATTAGTAACATGTAATTAATTATGGATATTTTCTAATTTGTACAAAAGACCACATTATCTACAATTAAACTTCAATTCCATAACAAGAAATAGGGTGAGGGATTCTTACTAAAATTAGTGTTCGAAATGCTAGACTTTTAGCTGCGCCTACTGGCGGTCCCCGAATTCCCCGAATTTTCC